GACGTATTTGGCCACTTGATGCTCTAACCTTCTGGCGGCATTGCGGTCTACAGGGAGGGTCCCGTGTAGCATGAAGCTCGCGAGCGGATCAATCCAGCTCGGCTCTGCTTGAATGACAGGAGCGACCTTCTCTGCCCCCCCTCCCCGAGAATGCTAGGCCGAGGCAGGTTCTCTATGTACATGGTTCTCATGGTATTATCACTGGTGCTGGCTAACCGAGACAGGGCGATGGCGTCAGCGTTCTCCGATCTCGGGATTTGCTTGATGAAGTGTGACTGGAAGTTGAGTAGAGCCTCTCTTACTTTGGCTAACTAGGCGATCATGGTCGGTTCGCGAGCTTCGTATTCGCCTGTGACTTGATTGACCACGAGTTGGGAATCGCTGCAGATGACGACGTGCTTGGCTTTCACTTCTTTGGCTAGAGCCAGCCCGGCTATTAACGTCCCGTACTCCGCTTCATTGTTGGATGCTGTGAACTCGAAGTGTAGTGCGTACTCCAGTTTTGTGTTGCTTGGGCTGTACAGAACGATTCCGGCTCTGCTACCCTACTGGTTTGACGAGTCATCTACGTGAAGGATCTAGGGCTCCCCATCCCAGTTCGCGCTTGGCCTAACTAGGAGAGATGCCGCATTGGTTGCTACCTCACTGTGCTCGAGCTCAACCGGTCTGGGAACTCCGGGCTCGCCCAAGCTGGGGGCCTCGTGCTCGACCGGCCTGGGGACTTCGGAGCTGAAAGTGCATTCCGTGATGAAGTCTGCCAAGGTTTGGGCCTTGATAGCAGTTCGTGGCTTGTATTGGAGATCGTACTCGCTAAGCTCAACGACCCACTTCATTAGTCTACTGGAGACCTCGGGCTTGAGTAGAACTTGCCTTAGAGGTTTTTTGGTGAGGACGATGACAGTGTGAGCTTGGAAGTACGGGCAAAGCTTCTGGGCTGCAATAACTAGTTTATAGGCCAACTTTTCTACCTCTAGATATCTTGTCTCTACTCCCTGCAACACTTTACAACATAGTAGATAGGTCGTTGGACCCGATCTACCTATTTTATCAGTACTGAGCTGACGACCTCGTCACTTTCCAAGAGGTACAACTCTAAAACATCGCCCTCCTCGGGCCGGGTTAAGACCGGTATACTAGCAAGGTACCTTTTGAGCTCGTCGAACGCAAGCTGGCACTCTTCGGTCCATTCAAAACCTTTGCTTTTAATTGCCTTAAAGAAAGACAGGCAGCGGTCTGCCGATTTGGACATGAAGTGGCTCAAAGCAGCTATTCGACCATTCAGCCTCTGAACCTCCTTCTGTTTCCAGGGTGGTCTCATGTCTAAGATGGCCTTTATTTTATCCAGGTTGGCCTCAATGTCGCGCCGGTTAACGATGTACCCCAAGAATTTACCCGAGGTGACACCGAAGACACACTTATTGGGGTTCAATTTCATGTTAAATTTATGCAAAATTTCGAAAACTGAATGCAAGTCTTGTATTAAATCATGCGAAAATTGGGTTTTGACGACCATGTCGTCTACATAGCATTCTATTTTTCTACCAATCAATGGCTCAAACACTTTAATTCACAAGTCTCTGAAAGGTTGCCCCAGCATTTTTCAACCCAAAGGGCATGACCTTGTAACAGTACAAGCCGAGCTCGGTTATGAAGGCAGTCTTTTCTTCATTAGTTGGGTCCATCCTGATCTGGTTGTAGCTCGAATAGGCGTCTAAGAAGCTCAACAACTCATGCCCTGAGGTCGCGTCCACCAGACGGTCGATCCTGGGGAGTGAGAAGCAGTCATTTGGGCAAGTTCGATTCAGGTCGGTGTAGTCGACACACATACGTCATTTACCGTTAGCCTTTTTTACTAGAACGGGGTTAGCCACCCAGCTCAGGTAATGGACTTCCCTAATAAAGTCGGTTGCGAGGAGCTTCCCGACCTCCTCGTCGAATGCCCTCCATCGCTCCGGGGCTAAGTTGCATTTTTTCTGTCTAACGGGCCTAACTATAGGATCAGTATTAAGCTTGTGAGTTGTGATGCTAGGGTTTATGCCGGGCATCTCCGCCACAGACCATGCAAAAACATCAATATTTTTAAGTATGAAGCGTACCAGTTGAGATCGTAGAGGCTCCTCAATAGAAGCGTTGATCTAAAGTGTTCGAGCTGGGTCCTCCGTCGATGTCGGGATGGAGACAATCTCTTCCGTGGGTGTAGTTCGTTCCTCGCACTGCTCCGTAGGTCGCTCCAGCTCAAGGTCATCGGCCACCTTTGCTTTTCCTTTGAGGGCGGCGACATAGCATTTGCAAGACTCAAGCTGGTCACCTCACGCTATCCCGATTCCGAAGTCCGTGGGGAACTTCATTGTCAAATAGTAAGTGGAGACCACTACACGTAGGGCATGGGTGATCAGTCGACCTATAATGGCATTGTACGGGGAGGGGGTTGCGACCACTAAGAAGTCGTAGTTGAGCCTCACAATGCTAAGCCAGGTGCCGACTTCCATAGGTACTGTAATCCTTCCCAGGGGCCTGACTTCCTCTTCGTTGAAGCCTACCAGGGGAGTATTCGTGGGCTTCAGGTCGCTTTCTTGGAGCTGAAGTTGGTCGAATGCTACTTTGAAGAGGATATCTGCCGAGCTGCCAGAGTCGACGAGGACACGCCTGACTTCAAAGTCATTGATCTTTATCTTTATGACGAGCGCATCATCATGGGGGTAGTGGGCCCCGCGTGTGTCGTCCTTTGTGAACAAGATCGGATCTTCCGTCCTTGGCCGCTTCAGGGGATTTTGTTCTTCCCTGGCAACCTTGTGAGCTGATGTCCGAGCTGCAGCTGTGGTACAGCCCGCGACAATTGAACCTCCAACGATCACGTGGATAGATCCCCGAACTGGTCTCTCTTCTGGGGGCTGCCTCTGCGGTTGCTCTGCCTGCCTGCTGAATTCGGGAGCATCTCTACTCTGCTCCCCCTACCGACTTGCTTTATTATTATTATTATTATTTTGTACAAAATTTTTCAAGTATCCGCAACGGATGAGCTCCTCTATCTCATCGCGGAGGTTTTTACAAATTTCGGTGCTATGACCATGGTCTTTATGGAAACTACAATACAAAGTTTTATTTCTTACACTAGGATCGGCCTTCAGCCAAGGTGGCCACTTTACATACGGGGCATCCTTGATTGCCATAAGGATCTTGGCCCGCTTCGCGTTTAGGGGCATGTAGTCTATTCTTTCGGCTGCTGGAGCTTAGAAAGGCCTACTCGGTCTTGCCCCCCACGCTGGGTCTTTTTTCTTCTTACTGTCCCCTTGAATCAAGGACTTGCCTTCCCTTTTTCTCGTCTCGGGCGCACTTGCGTTCTTCTGGTTGATTTCCTCCTTTGTCCCTATAAACTGATCTGCGAGCTTGAGGAACTCGGTCACGGTTTTGGGCTGATTGACAACCACATGCCACTTGAATCCTTTATGGGTAATGCCTCGTTTGGCCGCGGTGAGATGAACTGCGGGGTCCAAATTGGGTATTTGCAAACAAGCGCCATTGAACTGCTTGATATAACTCCGAATGGACTCCCCTTCCTTCTGGACTATGCCAAGGAGGCTTTCTTGAGTTCTTGGGCACCTCTTGCTGGTGACAAAATGGGAGGTGAGGACTTGCACGAACTGCACCCAACTTCTTATTGATCCAGGCGCGAGATTTTGGTACCATGTGCGGGCCACCCCTTTGAAGGTGGTGGAGAAAGCCACACACATACATGATTCATTGGCCCTTGCCAGGTGCATATGGGACTGGAAGGCATCCACGTGGTCATTCGGATCGAAGGATCCGTCATACTTATCCAGGGGAGGAAGCTTGAAATCCTTTGGCATAGGGACAACAAGAAGTTCTGGCAACAGAGGGGAAGGAACTGAAAGGAGAGGAGTAGCTTTTACTTCATCTGAGCTTACCTCCTCGTTACTTGGGAGAGCTGTAAGGGATGCAAAGAGAGCTAAGAGTGCAAATAGTGCTAGATCAGTAAAATTCAAGATTACATTTGCCCCTTCAGCCCTAGGGCCTTTAAATGTAGATGTTCTTGTCAAATCGGGCGTAACCGCCACTGGCCCTCTGTCGTAGCAGTTATTTGCCAGGGCTGCGCAGGTAATTGTTGCAAAGTACTGCCCAATCGAATGAGAGACACAACCCGGAAAGGACAAACACGCCACCACCTGTCAAGAGACGTGGGTGCAGTCTGTTGGGCTGGCAGGGGCTGTGCCGTCAGTCAAGAGACGTGGCGCAGTCTGACGGGTACGGTCTCGTCAGATAAGAAGCTTCTTGAGAACACCGCGTCACTTAACAGCGAGCTACTTTGTAGTGAACTATCCCATAGCAAGCTGCCTTGTGGCGAGCTCCTGGATGTGTTCTGAGGTGATTCCGCCTGAGGTTGCCTTTGGGGCAGTCTTCTTGCCTAAATATTGGAGCAAACTGATTCTCTCAGCTTGCGAGCTGGGATAGACTTGACTTGGAGTATTTCCTTTCCGCATACCGGGGTCCCTAAGCTCGCGCTGTAGCGAGCTCATTCCATGGCGAGCTGTAATGTAGTGAGCTGTCCTGCGAGGACCTTAATGAGCTCGTTACTCAGTCGTAGCCAGGCTGTCATGCTGAGCTATTGCTTACGTTGAATCATGTCCACACGTCGCCTTCTTAGGAGATCGGGTCAAATCACCCTCCATCATATTATATACTATATATTATTATATAATTATAATTTATATAATATATTATATATAAATATATAAATATTATATATATATAATATAAATAGTATATATGGGCCGTGCCACGGGCCGGGCCCGATTTACACCTCTAGTGCGAGGTGCCTGTGTGAGGAGCAGATCCGGTCTCGGCAAATTCACACATGTGAGCCGGTTTGCTGTGCAAACGCTGACATGTGCACTCGCAATGTGGAATGGGATCTGCTCCTCACACATGGGCGCCTCGGAGGCACATCCACCGTGCATTGGAAGCATCTCCCGTTCTTATCCCACCGTGCATATCCTACAAGCAACATAAACCCTCTCACTTCTATCTTCCTTAGCAGTAAAACAGTACCAGGGTTCTGTTCCGGAGGCTCTTTCTTCTGCAACTTGGGGTTCTTGAGTCGCGGAAAGGATGTCGTCTTTCATGGCGATTCAGCGAGCTGGAAATTCCATGTTGGCCACATTTTTCAAGGTACGGGTTCCATACTCGTATAAGCTCTTCTCCGAACACAGTCATACACTGAAGCTAAGTGTCTTGTTCTCCGCCCCTCGTAATCTTCCATTGAGATCCCTCGGCACCTCCGCCGTCCCAAACCAGTGGAATCCGCCCCAGCCATCTGATACTAGGGTTTTTCAGCACGACGGTGGTGTAGCTCAACGTGGAAACCCTAACCAGTGGAATCCTCAGGATCAGAGTTATGCCCAGCGTGGAAACCCTAACCAGTGGAATCCTCAAGATCAGAATTATGTTCAGCGCGGAAACCCTAACCAGTGGAATCCTCAAGATCAGGATTATGCCCAACGTGGTAACCCTAACCAGTGGAGTCCTCAAGACCAGAATTATGCCCAGCGCGGAAATCCTAGCCAGTGGCGTTCCCAAGGTCAGAATTATGCCCAGCGCAGTAACCCTAACCAGTGGAGCTCTCAGAATCAGAGTTTTGCTCAGCGTACTAACCTTAATCAGCGGAACTCTCAAGATCAGAATTTTGCTCAACGCGGAGCCCCTGACCAGTGGAACCCCCAAGATCAAAACCAGAAACAAGTCGTTGAAAATGGCGCTCCTAATGTGCCCCCTGCCAATGTTGATTTGATGAGCCTATGCAGGGAGGGAAAGATCAAAGAAGCTGTTGATTTCATGATCCAAGGCGTTCGTGCTGATCTTCCCGCTTTCCATGCACTGCTGAACTCGTGTGCTAACTCAAAGTTACTTGAAGAAGGGAAAAAGGTACATGATTATGTGCTGCGGTCACCCTGTAGGACTGACCTTCAATTGATGAATAAAGTGATTGAGATGTACATAAAATGTGGTAGTATGACTGATGCCCGGAGGGTGTTTGATCGAATATCTGAAAGGAATATGGATACTTGGCATTTGATGATTAATGGGTATGCCATGAATGGGCAGGGGGATGATGGATTGCAGCTATTTGAACAGATGAGGAAGCTAGGGTTAATACCAAATGGGCAGACTTTCCTTGCTGTTTTATCTGCTTGTGCTAGTGCAGAAGCTGTAGAAGAAGGTTTTATACACTTTGAGTCGATGAAAAATGAATATGGGATTTCTCCAGGGATTGAACATTATTTGGGGATTATTGATGTTCTTGGGGCATCTGGGCATGTTACTGAAGCTAAGGAGTTCATTGAGAACATGCCAATAGAACCCACAGCAGCAGTTTGGGAGACCTTGATGAATTTTGCTAAAATTCATGGAGATATTGATCTTGAGGACCATGCAGAGGAACTGTTAGTTGCTCTTGACCCCTCTAAAGTTGTTGCTAACAAGATCTCAGCCCCACCACCCAAAAAGCGTTCAGCAGTTAGCATGCTTGAGGGGAAGAATAGAGTGAGCGAGTTTAGAAGTGCAGCTCCCTACAAGGGAGAGGAAGTAAAAGGCTTGAATATGAAGGAAGCTGGTTACGTGCCGGACACAAGATATGTGCTCCATGACATTGATCAGGAGGCCAAAGAGCAGGCATTGCTCTATCACAGTGAGCGGTTGGCCATTGCTTATGGTCTAATCAGCACTCCAGCGAGAACACCTCTTAGGATCATCAAGAACCTCCGTGTCTGTGGTGATTGTCATAATGCAATCAAGATAATGTCTAAGATTGTTGGCAGGGAGCTCATTGTTAGGGACAACAAGAGGTTTCATCATTTCAAGGATGGCAAATGTTCTTGTGGGGATTATTGGTGATACCTGTCATTAAATTAAAGCTTATGTTTTGTGCCTACATGACCACATTAGCATTGGTTAGTGTATAAAGGTGGATCAGAATGTCCAGTTCTATTAGTGGAAATTCATGGTGTTACTTATTAGTAGGAGAGGAACTCTGGGAAGTGGGAGCATGGGAATGCTAGAAGGTACTTCAGATGTGCTTATAAAGTATTTTTTTTTTAATTTTCTTTTTCTTTTTTTTTTTTTGATCAGCAATGATGAAAACAATTCTATTGTTAAAAACAGGATATTACATCTTATGGTACAAACCTGAGAGCATAGCCATGTTATCCTCTTCAACATTAAAATTACAAACATTACAATTTTGTCCAAACTAAAGAATTTCTGTTCACCCCTTGCTTAGCCAAGAAATTTTGGAATGGTAGCATGGGGCTACCTTCTTCAGGGGTTTTGGCATTTTACATGTAAAGTTTAGCAGTTACTTATAAAAAATTATAACTTTCCCGTGTTAGTATTAAACTTAATGAAAGGGCCACATTCATTTACTTTTGGCTCTTTAGTCTCCCCTGTTTTATCATCTGTGCCAGATCTGCTATCACTTATAGTAGGATGAACAACCAGGGTAGAAGCTACATGGAAAGCAAAACTGCAGAACCACTAGTGTTGAGTTTGACTCTAGGGTAAAATCCCTAGCTCATGGAGGACATTTGGTATTTTAAGTTTAGTACAAAAATTGTACTTAGATGACTCGGCAAGCAAACTCACTTCCTTTCCTCCATAATATCATCAAAGGTGTCCTGTCAAGTCATGCAGAACATATTTGTGTAAGCAGTTTATAATCTGAAAGCATGTCAATGCTGTTGACTTCAGCACCGTGCAATATTTATTAAATCATAATAGTAGAATTTTGTTAGATTTATTTCCTTGAGGTTAACATTGGACATTTGGACTCCATAAAATATGACGCTTTGTTGGGTTAACAGAACATGAAATTTGACATTTGTAAAATGCTTTATAGAAAGATCAATAATTGGTATATGTTCCCCAATTCTTAGTGTGTGCATGGTTAACAGAAAGACAATGTAATACTTATTCAGAAAATGTAGCTTTTGTTATTTGGATCTGAAACTATTTCATTTTTGAGTAATAATTGCACATTTCCACTAGTGACTGAACCCAACAGAAATATGGCTTTAACGTGGCAAAGGTTTTCTGAAGTGAAAACCTTTTTCATCTGTGCAGTTCATACTGATAAGAAAGATCCTTAGATGTTTCTAGGTCATTAGCATGATCTTAGTAGGTTGAAACTTGTCCACAAGATTTGATGGCTTAGTTTTCTTAGTTATTCTAGATTTTTTGAGAAACAGATTCTTGTTAGACTTAAGCTGCAGATTTTTTCTTTTTTTTTATTTTAATGAATTTGGTGAGATGCATCTTTTGTTTTTGGATTACTAGATAGGCATTTGCCCAATGTTGGTTTCAGGTATCTGGGGTCTTGGGAGGGGTGGAGCAGAAGTGGATATGGATAACTTTCAGAATTTTGTTGCACAAAGTTGCCCTTCTTGGACTTGAACTCTCTTTCTTCTGCATGCCAGCCTGAGATTTTACAAGGACAGTTGAAATTTCTGTTTGGTACCTTAATTTATATTGTTAATGGGTCTGGAGGTATTTTATATCTGGTGCTTGGGCTGCAAAGCCTGTATAGTTTGGACTAACAATCAAGACATTGTTATCTCGATCAAGAATTTTTAGTAATTCTTATAAACAGATTTCACAAATTTAATACAAAACAATATACACAAAAGAAATTTATTAAAAGAAAAATATACAATTTTTTTTGTTAACTTTTTTAATGAATTTTCTTTTACTATAAAAACACAATGGTCCCCTCTTTTGATAAGTAGCTGTTAGCATGCATTAATTTAGCACTTGTAAAATTTTGTTATGATGCAAGGCTCCCATCTGGAGCCATCCTTTCTCGCAAGTGTACAAATTAGCCCAAAAGAAATGATCCCTTGACACCCCTTGCTTAGCTAATGTCTCAGGCATAGAGTTTACTGATCTATTGACCCACTTGAAGGTGGCCTCAACTTCTCTTGATAATCTCCTGATCTCCCTCATTTCCTTCCTATACATCCAAGGTCCCTCATTGTTATTCACCAACCAGCCCACTACCAACGAGTCTCCTTCAACCTCTATTTGATTCATGATTCATGTTTAGCTGCCTTGCTGGTTTCAAACCTTATAGGAGAGAAATGATTTCTGCTTTTAGTAAGTCTCCAGTTCCTATTGGACCTGATTAAGGAGTCAATACAGATCCATTTCCATCTCTGAACACTCCCCCAATACCTGAGGGACTAGGGTTTCCAAAGGAACTACCATCACAGTCCAGTTTCACTCTATTGTATATGGATGGCATCTAAGTTTTTGTACTGTCAGTTTCATGGTAGAGGATGCTGCTATTACATCCCACCCTCTAATGAAATCATCAACTGAGAAATCCTTAAAAACCATTGTTGTTTTAACCCATTGGATTACTTTGAGCTTAAGGCCTTCTATTAAAGCATTCACATTTTTTATATTGGCCCTTAAATATCCTGTTGTTTCTGTCCTCCCATACTGCCCATAAAATAGCTAGTCTTGTTGCTATCTACATCACCTTCCCCCTTCTTTCTGGCATCAAATTGAGACTTGAGCTGAATGAGTTGGCAACTTCCAGAGGTGGAATCCATCTGCATTCAAAGAGAACAGAAAAACTCCCAAACACAAGGTACATATAGACAGGAAATTTGTAAATGGGGCAAAGTTCATCGCTAGCATTGCACAAAACACATATATGAGGGGGAAGGGTAGATCTTTGGGGCATCCCGGATATAAATATAATGACAGGGTATGTGAGAACATAGAGAGTGGAGGAATACAGTTATGTTTTAGAACTTTTGATATGATCGTTAATCAACTCAATTACTCAAATCCATATTTATCTATCTTTAATTTGCTTCACTTTTTTTCTTGTGAAGTGCATTGATTGCCTTAACTGATATTCAGGCATTTACTTATGACGCAAATAGTAAATTGTTGGTTCGATGTCAATGTTAGACTGTTAATGATTTTGCCTATGCTGTCAAGGAGATTATGTGAAGCTTATAAAGAATTAAAGCAAAAGAAAGCAGGTGCTTCTGGTGATGATGATATATAGGACTGCTCCTAAATGGTGTTGCTTCATCAATTGATGGTGGAGAGGTTGAATTAATGATCAGAATTAGACAGTTGGACAGAAAGTATTAGTAATGATGAAGATCAAATTATCAAATTGATAATTTGTAAATGTGGCTATATTCTGTTGTTAGCTTCTGGTTCCAACTACATCTAAGTTGAAGTGTTTGATATTCAATTCTTGAACATTGGTTGTGGTCTTTGTGGGCCAAAGATCTAACTTTTTTTCCAAAACAAGTTGCTTTTAATTGCAAACTTTTAGCTTAAAAATTTAAATTTTGAATGGCTATTATCAATCTTACATGTTGGGTATGAGGTGACGTGGACAAGGGGATTAAAACATGGATAATCAAGAAGTTCTCTCATCTATGGATGGTCTTGATCAGCATCCCTTCCATGTCGTAGAATCATAGGGAAGCTTCCTACATCAATTAGGAAACCTTTTTTCAACATCATTTTCTCGCTTTCACTCTTGGTTTGAAATCTATTTGGTGTTTCTGCTACAAGTCCAAACTGCCCAACCCACCCACCCAATTATTAATGGGTCAAATTCATTTATTTAGTTCCGGGTCGTTGTGGGTCGGTTAACCCAATAAGCATAGGCTTTAATGGATTGGGCAGGTTGGGTAATGGTTAACCATCGAATCCATCAAGGAGCAGAGATTGGTCAATACTCTAAACGGTATAAATTCAAAATGTTGACCCTTGAAATCAACAGACCTATCCATGAACCTTTCTTGTATAAACTCTTTTGGGTTCTTCTAGATTTCAGGATCCATTATTAGACCAATTACCCTCATTTATCAATGTCAATTTAAGCTTATCCCTTGATGATCATGTATCTTGTCAAATTCATCTAATTTACTTGAAAATATAACTCTATGTGGTTATAGATTTACAGCAATTCAAACAATTCACTTTGAACCCACGTTAGATAGTGGTTTAAAAGGTGCGCCTGTAGGCACATAGGCGAGGCGTATTTTAGGGTAGGCGCCCTGCCCAGGTCTTAGGCTTAGAACTTTCAAAAGGCACATGCCTTTTGAAAATTGTACACTTTTTTGCTTTTTTCAAACCTAGTGCCTGGGTTAGGGGCTTTGCCCCGGGCCCTGACCACACCCCTTAAGGCAAGTCCAAGCAAGTCCATGTTAGGGTCTTAAATTCTTAGTTCGTACACAAAAAGTTGTATGTTTTTATTGGACCTAGTGCCATGCTTTAAAAAGGCATGCGCCTGTCTCGCCTTGCGCCTCGGGCACAAAGTGGCCCTTGCGCCTTTTTTCTGCCTTGCGCTTTTAAAACATTGATATTAAAAATTTGCAACATATATTGGCACTTGCGTCACTTCATGAAGAATAACTAGTAATCCCAAGCTAATATGCTCTTTGTTTTCACCTCAGTGGTAGACACAACTCATAAGTTAGTGTCCTATGGCAACCTACCATTATGCATTGGCACAACTTCTAAGTGAAAATATAATTAATAATTAATAATTATTTATTATTTATTTCTAAAAATTATAAAAATAAATAAACATTGTATAATATATTCAAAAAATAGTTATTAAAGAAGAAATTTCAATTGCTTTGTGGATATGATAGATCATCCATAGAATTATAATRTATTYAATCATTGTGATCAAATGATAAAATATAATTAATTATTTTTTAATTATAAAAATAATTATTAAAGGAGAATTTTCAATTGGTTTGTGGATATGATAAATCATCCATAGAATTATAATATATTCAATTGCTGTGATCAAATGATAAAATATAATTAATTATTAATTATTTTTTAATTCTAAAAATAAAAAAATAAAAAAATATATATATATATTATAGAAGAAATTTCCAATTGCTCTATAGATATGATAGATAAATTCGTAGATCTAAAACATATTTAGTTTTTATAGGTAGAGAAAAAAATTATATTTTCAAATTTTTTGTTAATTTATATATTCCTCAAATATCTTCATGAAATTTCCATAAATCTACTAATAACACAAAAAAAATGTGATGTTGAATGTAAGAAATGTAGATCAACATAAATTTAAAAATTCGAGAAAAAAAAAATCACAAGATATTATAAAAAATTGAAAAAACTTACCTATATTTGTTATATTTGTTAAAAATTTGAAAAATCTTAAAAAAATTAAAGATTAACACTTGTTTCTTGCAAATTTTTGCAAATCTAGCACTCTAGGAATGAAGTTTGGAGTTTGAGTCATTTGGGGTGAAAGAAGGCTTATTTCAGGGAAAAGAAGCTTGCTTTCCCCCTTTACTTTTTTTTTTAGTTTTTGGCCGTATATTTTTTGTCGATACACTACCAAGACACCCCAATATGGTCCGATACACAGGAAAAAGATGAGACACCCGATTTTCATGCATATCCCGTATTTGTTTTTCAAAGATATGATATGATAATGCTCTGTATCAAGCGTAATGTATCAAAATTTTAAACCTTGTGATTAACAATTCTAACTAAAAGTTAAAAGAAATAATATTTAAAATTAGCATTTTATAACTAAATGAAATAAACAATCTACCAAACCCGAATTTATATCAAATGATGATTTTAATCTCAAGAAATTTATACAAACAAAATATTAAAAAAATAATAATTACCTTAGTACTTAAAATTTATAAATTTGTGCATGATATATATCTTACTAGGGCTGTCAATGGGTTGGGTCTACCCGATAGACCCGAACCGTTCGAACCATATTTATCGGTTCTGGTTCTATGATTCATTCCAATGGGTCGGTTCTGATTTTATTTTATGTGTCCCGATTAATATCGGTTCAGGACTGGTTTTGACTATCCTAAACCGACTAGACCTGAACTGATTATATGTACATGTTTAAGAGTTATAGGTATGCCTAAAATTGTAATTTTACTTTTAACACCTAAAACCCCTGAGCTCAAAACCTTTTGGCCTTTACCCTTTTGTTTTGCTTTTGCCGCTTGAGGCTTTAGCTTCTAAAGTTCTACTCGTCACTTTATCTTTCTTTGAGAAAGTTTCTCATCACCGTCTTTGTGTATCATCGATTTTCAGCCACCACCTTCTCCTACACACCAAGCTCTACCATGGACAAAGAAAAAGAGAAGATGGGGTAGAAGAAAAAAAGCTTATCACAGTTTAAATCCCACCCATGTGAACCTTGGATTGGGAGTACCAGATAAATGGACAACTAGTAAGTGGGCTCTAGCTTAATTGCTGAATAAGGAGGCGGTCTGATTTCAAGATCACTCGATATATGCAGGTTTGCTTAGTTTTTTCCCATTAGCTTTAATTTAATTGCTACTATTTTTTTAGTAAGGTTAAACTGAAATTATATAGGATTGCAGGCTGTTTACATATTGTCTTTTAGCAAGATTATATAAGTATAATAGGTTTTTTTTTTGACAAATATCCTACTGATATTCTGATAACAAGTTATTGAACAAAATGTTCTTTTCTTATCAAACTAGAATCAAGTAAGTCCTTTTTGCTGCTATATTCATTAGTAATATTAATTAATTAATATAGAATATTTTATCAAAAACTACAAGGCTTACCATCTTAAGTATGGGTTGTTATTTAATTGGGTCCAATCGGGTTAGACCTGATTGTTCTGATTGGCCCATCGATTCGATACCGGTTGTGAAATAATAGAACCGATCGGGTCTAGTTCGGTTTTGGTACTATCGGTTTTAGCAGTCAGTTTGGAACAGTTCTACCCTGTCCTAAACCAGACCCGGACCGCTGACAACCCTATATCTTACAATTTTTATATATTTTTATAATTATTAGTTAATATTTTAATCTATATTAAATAACATTATATTTATCATTTACAAAAAAAATTGTTTACAAAATATTCAAGAATATAGTATTAAATTGAATCTATCAAATCCACTAATTTACATTTATATGAAGAAATGATTTTTTTTTTACTTCAAAAAATTTATAGAAGTTCAAATTTTAATTATGAAATAATTATTTTAGTAATTAAAAATTATGAATTTGCATACGATATATATCTTATAAAAGTTAATAGATTTGATATATTTTGAGTAAAAATTATATATAAAAATATTTTTAAATGATAATTTAATATATTTGAGAATTAATATTTGGTTAACCTTTGCATTAATGTTAAAAAATAAAAATAATAAAATAGAAAATAATTGATGTAATAATTAGGATAAATATAATAAGTTTGTATGTTTTATGTCTTGGACTCTTAATTTTTTACAAAATACATTACCCTAATAAGTTCATATGTTCGTATGTTTGATATTTATGCATCCTACTATATTAATTGTAATACATTTTTTCATGTACGTCAATAATTATATATGTTTGACATAAAACAGGGTATTGGGAATGGGTACCATGTCATGTCAAATAAAACAGGGTATTGGGTATCAAATACCATAAAGTCAAAATCCAAACCCATCCCAAAGCCTATAGGGTTTTGATAAACAGGTCCTGTTAGGGTCGGGATGGATCAGATACCTGAAAATTCCTGCCAAATTGCCATCCCTAAGTTCAAGTGAACCTTGCTGATGTCTCAACCATTAACATTCTTCCTATATTTACTATTGATGACAACTACCCAAAGAGCACTAGGCTCAAAGAGGCTACTTGCATATCCATTTGTCAAGAAGAGGTATTTTTTCCTTAATATGTCCAATACTCAGACCATTTGCTTCCTTTGGCTTGCAAACCTGCTCCCAACTTATAGCCTTTTCCTTGCTTATTCTGGTGTATGTTTAAGCATCCAATTGGTTCATAAATACACATATTCATAGCTTCTGGAAACCTATGAGAGAGGAAATGTACTCAGAAATGAACAATGGAAGGGATTGTTCAACGGGTTGAAGTAGATGGAATAGATTTGTGTGCACCACTGGAATGAGCACCAACTCATGGACTTCTTCAAAGACAAGTGAGATAGAAATAGATTCAGTCCCTGTGACACCATTGGTCTTCTTCATGGAGTAAATTGCTTTCACTTATTACTTGGGTCTTACTATGATACTATCACGCATTGACGACAACCGAGCAACTGAGCAAGTAAAAAGTGGGAGAATTATATTTCCAAGGTTTTTAAAACCGACTTGGACAATGAATCGGTCAGGGATCAGGTTCCTAGGTCGAATGGTCTGACCGTTCGAATCAAACGGTCGGCCCATTCTGACAAAAAATAAAAAAAATTAAAAAAATAAAAACCGTTAAAACTGTTAAATGGTTCAACCGCCCAGATCAGCGATCTGCTGACCAAATCAATGTTCTTTTTGGCAAAAATCCGGTTTTGGAGAAAAACAGAACCGATCACCTGACCGGTTCCCAGGTCCGGTTTTGAAAACCATGCATATTTCTATCTCTTTTAGGAAAAAGGAAAGATCATGCAGCTGGCTGCTTCATAAACAGAGAAGATTTCTTGTACATAACAGTGTAGTGTATTCAGATGTTGGATGATAGGGCTGGTAATCTTCCCTTTCATGTATATTTAATCTCGGAGAAAATCTCTCATAACTATGTTCAACCATAAATACCACTCTGTATTTCAATTTCATGTATTTAATTAGCTATCTGGCCCATGCCCGAAAGGAATGATATTTTAGGATTTTTTGGGTGAAATTTTAGCATGTTATTTGGTGCTTAGGATTTCATTATTAGCAGGCTTATGTGGCAATTGTTGCTCATAAATTTATTACGGGTTGGTGTAACTTTGAGTCGTATAAAACAATGATAGCGTTTGGTTTCATTGTTGTTTATTAAAAAATTGGTGCCAGTTTAATACCAAATAGGCATTTTTCCTAATGGCTACATGAAATTTTGTTTCTTGAAGCATTTATTGAAAAAACATTTTTTGGGTTATGTGAGAGGTAACACCAAAATAATGTTCCCCCAACACCAAGACATTTTTTTTACTATTCGGGATATGTGGTGCCTAGTAAGCTGAGCTGTTGAAAAATGTTATTTGTTCTGATTTCTGAGACAAAATTGTACAAAACATTTATCAAATAAACACCATTGGTACCAAACATCCCAATGTTGTCAACTTCAGGACCATTAGGCAATGGGACCTCCTAAAGGCAAAAACCCATGAATTTAAGGAATTCACATCAGCTCCCCATAGAGCACACCCCACATGGACTCCACAGAAAATCCCGTCTATGCATTGAGAACATCTCCCCATGACAAGTACAGGAGATGTTCCCAATGCACATTGAGATGTGCTGCACTTTGTGGAGAGCCAATACAAAAATTTAAGATACATGTATGAGAGATATTCCCAATATGTGGTTGGATTCCATGTCCTCAGATTTTTTTTTGCTTTAAGGAGATCCGGAGTTAGACCATCAGAACTGGGAGCCTGCTTCTTAGAAATGCTGGCTTGGTTAAACTTACTCTTGCATATTTTAATATGTATTATACTATCTAAATTCTGAACCTATTTTGATGTAAAATTAACTTTAAAAGATGATCTCAAAACCATCTTCATGTTTTTAGATTTTTTATATTTTTACTTGAATGAATTAAACAGTTAAATCATTTGGATTGACCCAAGACCTGGTCTCCAGTCAAAACGATGATTAACAATTGGTATAAAACTCATGTCAAGACAACAAGAGAGGGAAAATTAGAACGACCCACCCTTGATTGAAGCATGTGTGTGTGAGTTGCAAGTTGCAAGAGAGATGACATGAGAAATTAATGGAGCAGTCATACAACACTTGTTTATCTAAACTCTTGACTCTTGATTTAGATATACAATGGGTGCCCCATGTGTGCCGTTATTTTATTGCCATTGCATTGCTTATTATTATGTAGTACTAGAGGATGACCCATGTAATACTAGTATTTTGATATTCTTTTATTCATGTATTCTGATAAATCTTGTTTAACACACATTTTTATGTTGTAAATTTAGGTTATTATTTTATTTCATATTTTTTATATAGAAATTTATTATCTAATTTAATAGATTAAATCAAGTTTAATCTTCTGATTGGGTAGACTGTATACACGTCTAAAAAAGAATTCATGAATAAAAGATGGGAAAATGTGTTTTGCTCAGTTGGCACAGCACACGGACAATTATACATCACAAGACAGAACACAAGTCACAAAATGATAAACCATCTAAAAAAAGGGAAAAAGAGAAATCATCAAGAACAAAGAACAAAGCACATGGAAACTGATAACAAAATTGCAAATTCATAATTGTGAGGCACATCCAAGCAATCCCAGTATGGAATCTATGACTCTGTGAAGTTGATTACCTCATCAATGACTAACCCTGTTAGTCATTGTGCTTTGCTATCTATTATAATCCTTAATGAATTAACTTTACACATCATACACAATTGGGATATAATTGTGTATACTCTATTATCAACCATTTTCCATTTCTATGTACATGTATATTTACCTTTGATTGTAAATAAATATACGACATAATTGAGAATCATCTTTCCTTAACCCTTACAGAAGAATGGGAAAGGCAGGTCACAATAGATCAAACATCTCCCTGCCAAAAATGAAACACAAGCGTGTGCTGCTGTAACTTATGACCAAATTTATGTATACTCAAGTATAGCACCTGTATGATTGAATCCACATGATACTTGCAGTGCTTTCACATTTTCACCAAAATTCACCATTGTAGGTTCAAAGTGGTCAATATCACTTCCATGTCCCTGTAGAGAAGACAACTTGACATATTTAAAGTGAAATACTTGGTAGATTGATAATTATCAATAAAAAAAAAAACTTTCGTAGATTGACAAAATAAAGAACTCAATAACTCTTTAATTTGATAGTGTTTATTAACATAAAAGTAACCAAAATATTATTGTACCACGTATAAACATACAATTGAACTTCACATACTGGGTAAAACACCAACAATTGAGTGAACTCTTCAATTAAAAGCATTGCAAAAGGAGTTCCATAAGACCAAACGTACACAAACATACACAAGATCTCATACAACTTGGAGCCTCAATGAACCATTGTTTTAATCCCTACCTTCTTGACTAGCCTAAAATCATGTAATATTCTTTGGCCATATGATTGCCCTCTCAAAGGAGCTCTAATTTCAACTCTTGATCAGACATTTATAAATATTACTTTGTATCAGCATGGGTCACCAAATAGCTAATATGTTTGAGCCTGCAATTTTAAAGCTCAAAGACGCTGAACAAGGCTGGACAAAAACTATAGAGGTTATTGATATTGAAATGCAGCAAGGATGTGTTTGATCATGGTTATAAGCTACAAGGACCCAAGTTTTTCTTTATGGAGATGCCAGTTACATTTTGTTTTTTTATAACTTTTTTTTTTGTTTGTCTAAATAGAAATCTTTAGCAAACAACATGCTAAAATATGGGTTATTGGTAGATATCTAAATTATCTATGTACAGACATAGGCTCTTCTAGGTTCCTGTGTGCTAGTGGATCTCCTGTGAGGGCATGTATTCAGACAGTTAACAAATTCAATCACAAAATCACAATGATCAGAACATCACCTGTAGGGGTGTTAACCCTTTCTGTCTGAAGCATCAGGATGAACTTTGATCAATATAACTGATACATTTAATGCTACAATAATATTGGAACCAGACTTTAAGTTCATAAATTTATGATCCGTAGTTTCATTTGATCTTCTCTAGTAATTCTCAACCATTTACTTGTCACCAACTATTAAAAGGGAAAAACCTTTGGAGGTGTAAAAGGGAAGCAATATTATGGAACAGTTGGGAAGAGCAGAATGCAACAACTTTCAATGATATGAAGTTGGAATCACAAGCAACCATTGATTTGGTAATGGTTAGGCTGTTAGGATGATTCATTAAGGTCTGGACTCTGGAGATTACTCAGATCTAGCAAGCAATGACCACCTTCTTCCATTACATGCCCCTTATAGTAGGAATACAAGCCCTCAGATCCAGGTAGAATAAAACTAATCTTTGATGGATGATGAAAGTGCTATTGATGATTTAGGCCATATTGGAGCAGGGACTGAGATCTCTCTCTTGTAGATAGGTCAACAGTGGGCTTTGCATCTGGGATTCTATATATCAAACAGAAAGATCCTTTAAATATTTAAGTTATTAATAGAACAACTTAAACTGTTATTTTTCCTGATTGGTATAGAATGAATCAAATGGAGATGGTTCCTGAAGTGCAAAGGAGAATTGGGCTGATGACCAAGTGGATGGATTAGAGGAAACAAGCAAAGCAGAATTGGAAAGAAGATGGAGGGGATGTAAAAGAATCAGGCAGATAGTGGAAGATGGAAGTGAGAATCATGAGTGAGTCAGGGAGAGAAAATGTTGGATGTGAACAAAAATTTTAAAAGGAAGTCCATACAAATAAAATGTCAGGGATTTTATTTTGGCAGCGGGGAGTTTTCTAGAAAATCTTTTATGGAATTGGAGAAAAGAAAGGAATTTGATGATGATAAAGATAGTATTGAGGATGAAATGCTGAAGGAGGTGGAAGACAGATCAGTGGAGGTTGGTAAAGGACTGGTAGATGGTGATGTTTGTTTGAATACTTCGGCACTTGTGTTTCAGTAGTAGGTTGAAAGAAGAAGAGAGAAAGAGAGGATAAGAGAGAGATAGAAGAGAGAAGAGAATAGGAGAACCACATGGTATAGAGAGAATGAATCCTCTCCCTAGCCGACCGGATCTTATATAGATATGGTGATAGTACAATGACTGATATATCCCTACTTAAGTGTGGAGACAACAACTTAAAATAAGACAAAACTGACAAAGAGCAACTTAATGAGAAGGTAAAAGATCATATTTCCCCTATATAGTCGACTCTAACACTACCACTCAAGCTGGAGGGTATATGTCATATAGTCCCAGCTTGTTACATATGTAATCCACTCTTCCGCGACTCAATTCTTTTGTAAACAAATCTGCCCACTGGTTTCTTGAATTCACGTGCTCTACGCTTATCATTCCACTAAGGATCTTTTCTCTTACAAAATGGTAGTCAACTTCTATGTGTTTCATCCTCTCATGAAAAAATAGATTAGTTGAGATGTGGACAAAGATTGATTATCACAATACAATTTCATAGGACTATTTATTGAGAATCCAATCTCTTGTAGGTGATTTTTCAACCACACCAATTCACATGCTGTGTGTGCCAATGGCCCTGTATTCATCTTCTGCACTACTTCTTGCCACAACTGTTTGTTTCTTACTCTTCCACATGATCAAAGTTCCTCCAAGGAAAGTACAACATCCTGCAGTTTACCTTCTAGCAGATACTGAACCAGTCTAATTTATGTCTGCATAACCTACTATTTCAAGTTTTCCTCCTGATCTGTACAACCCACGACTTGGTGCACCCTTCAAGTATCACACAATTCTAACAACTGCATCTGAATGAGGAACCTGTAGGTTTTACATAAACTGGCTGATTACACTAATTGCAAAGGAGATACTTGGTCGAGTAATAGTCAAGTAGTTCAACTTTCCAACCAAATGTCTATACCTTCTAGGATCATCAAACACATCATCTACATCAATGCTCAATTTAACATTTGGCTCTATGGGAGTTTCAGCTGGTTTAGCACCTAACAACCCTATCTCTTCCAATAGATCAAGAACATACTTCCTTTGGTACAAATTTATACCATGCTTTGATCTTGCAACTTCTATACCTAAGAAGTACTTCAACTTGTCGAGGTCCTTTGTTTGAAAATGATCTTGTAAAAAGGACTTTAACCTATCAACTCCCAACCTGCACTACTGATTATAACAATATCATCTACATATACAACCAACAAAATCTTTCCATCACCAGAATTATAGCTAAATACTAAGTTATCAACTTAACACTGTTTCAAACAAAATTCTTTTACAACTCCACTGAATTTGCTTAACCAAGCTTGAGGAGACTGTTCAGCCCATAAAATTGCCTTCTTGAGCCTACATACCTTCCCATCCTCCTCTTGAGAAACAAACCCAGGAGGTTGCTCCATATAAACTTCTTAAACCAAATCACCATGTAAGAAGTCATTTTTAATGTCAAGCTGAATTAATGACCAAACACACATAGCTATTAAAGATATGAGAACACACTGAACCAATTTTAGCAATTGGAGGGAAGGTCTCCATGTAGTCCACCCCATACAATTGTGAGTAGCCCTTAGCAACTAATGGGCTTTTAATCTTTCCACTGTAGGATCTGGTAGATACTTGATAGTATACAACCACTTACAACCTACAATGTGTTTACCAAGAGGAAGAGTAGTGAGCTCACACGTGTGATTGTGTGCAAGAGTAGGGAGTTCTTCTGCCATTGCCCAACACAACCCTATTGAGGTAAGAGCTTCCTGGACATCCTTAGGAATAGATATGGAAGACAAAAGAGAAACAAACTTGCGATGGGAATTAGAAATGTTAGAAATAGAAACATAATTGGATATTGTGTGCAAGAGTAGAGAGTTATTCTTCCAATGTCTGGACACAACCCTGGTGAGGTAAGAGCTTCATAGACATCCTTAGGAATAGATATGGAAGACAAAAGAGAAACAAACTTGCGATGGGAATTAGAAATGTTAGAAGTAGAAACATAATTGGATATTGGATGAAGAGTACAACTACGTTTACCTTTACATAAAGCAATGGGAAGGTCAAGGTCAGAAGTAGGAGGTAATGTTGGGGTAGGAACAAGTGAAGTAGGATCTGTCGATGGAGAAGGAGCTAGAGGAGTTGGTGTTTATCTATGAGTATACAGTTTCCTGATTGGTGGCCGGTCGGTATGAATCTACATTGGAGAAGGTGAAGGCTCAACTGCAACTAGAACAGTAGGGATGACATCATCAACTGGAACTAGAAAAGGGACCACCGGAGAAGAAGGAGAAACAATAGTACTACTAAAAAAAGGAACTGACTCAAAGAAGGTAACATCAGGACAAACAAATGATCACTAAGAGGATTATAGCACTTATAACCCTCTTGGGTCCTAGAATAGCCAAGAAAGATATGCTTTATAGTGCGGGCATCCAACTTGTCCAATCTAAGACCTAGGTTTTGAACAAAACATACACAACCAAAGATTCGAGGAGTTAAGGGAATGGGGGTAGGAAACAAAATAAAAAATGGAAAACGACCATCAAGAAAGAATGAAGGCATTCGGTTAATGAGAAAACAAGCAGTAAGCACAACATCACTCCAAAAATGTTTGAGTACATTCATATGATTTAGAACGGACCAAGCAATCTCAAGTAAATGTTGGTTCTTTTTTTTAGCCTCCCCATTTTGTTGTGGAGTGTATGTACAAGAAGTTTGATGAATAATACCATGATGCTCCAAATATTGTTGAAATGAAGTACTCTTTGCTATTATCAAAACGAAGAATTTTTATTGGAACACCAAACTGAGTTTGAATTTCAGCATGAAACTTTTGAAAAATAGAGAATAATTCACTTCTTTCTTTCATAAGATAAATCCATATCATCCTTGAATAGCCATCAACAAAAATTACAAAATACTTGTAACCATTATAGGACACAATTATATTTGGACCCCAAACATCTGAATGAACTAAAGAAAATGGACTCACTACATGATTATCAACTCTATGACTAAATGAAACCAAATGGTATTTCCCATATTGACACAACTCACACTATAGTGATGACAGGTGACTCAATGACAAAACAAGTAGTTTGGGAGCTTTAAGAGATGGATGACCAAGCCTACAGTTCCATTGGAGAGGAGTAAGGGAAGACTGAAGTGCAACTACACGCCACTATCAAGATAATACAACCCATTGGTCTCATGCCCTCCACCAATCTTCTTCCCCAGCTTGAGATCCTTAAAAACACAAGAAGATGGGTAAAAAGTGATGGGACAATTGAGGAATTTGGTTAATTTACTAACAGACATAATATGAAAAGGAAACTTAGGCACATATAAAATAGATGATAAGGATAAAGATGCAACGTTAACATTAACAACACCACAAATGGGAGAAGTGGAACCATTGGCTAAAGTAATAATGTGTGAGGTGGAGGGCTAAGAGAGGGAAGAAAACACACCTGGAGTCCCAATCATATGATCGGAGGCTCCATAATCGATAATCTAAGGGGTGGGGGGTTTGGATGCCAGACAAGCCATACCAGAGTGAGCAAGAGCAATTATGTTCTGATGGGATGTAGCCTAGAGAAACCTCTCATATTCATCATGGGGAATACTCATCATCTCTTTCCTATGAACAAATGTAGAGGATGCCTGATCAAATTGCTTGTTATCACCCACTTCACTACCACTTGTTATAGCATGATTAGCTTATGAAGAAGGTAGGCCATGTAGATTGTAGCAAAAATCGACTATATGTCCCTCCATACAACATTAGGTGCACTTCCTAGGATCACTGCCTCGTCCCTTACCACGGCCTCCCCTTAAACCCTAACCACCACTGCTTCCACCACCTTAGCTAAACATGGGACCACGACGGCCTCCTCTAACTCCACAACCACCACCTCAATTACCACAGAGTCCCTCTCTTGCTACAATAAATGCAGACCTATCAGAAGTAGTAGAGTTTTCTGTAGGTTCAAGTGAAATCCTACAGAGTTGAGCAAATACCTCCTCAAGAGATGGAAGAGTAGGACCCCCCAAGTAGAGTTTCTTAGCATGACCTCATATCTTCTTGGCTGTATCAAGAAACATAAAGTTTACACTTATTTTGGGCTCCATACTATTCCATAACCATGTCATAATTTGAGCATCTTCTTGCTCCCACTCACTATATCCTAGAGATTCAGTTGAGGGTTTCTCATCCTTCACATGTTTCACCTTTTTCTTAGCCCTAAGAAAAAACTCCACCGATTTGGTCCATGCACATAATTCTCACCATTAAGTTTGATTGACGTCATTTGCACACTTAGAAAATCAGGGGTTATCATCACATTTGATTTTTTATCACCATTAGTTTCTCTTATTATTGCCATAATGCTGTCTACTCAAAACAGTCAACACCACCACTACTGTGTTACTACTAACTCACAAGAACTGATTGTCACACACAAAAGATTACCTGGGCGTTACAACATTTCACTCACCTCTTAACAACACTTTCCAACCCACATAGCAAGGAGAGACATGCAGAAATTACACCTGGAATACATTCAGTGACTTTCTCCACCACAGATTTCAGCTAGCATTAGTACTGTCAGCTGGCCAAGAAAAAACAAAGGCCCTCTTGACTGCTCAAATGAGGGTTCAGACACCACAACCACTCGACAACTAGGGCTGTCACTTATCATGACAGCAGTTCACAGGGTGCTGAAATAGGGTTGCCACAGCCTCTTCAGTCCCCTTTAACTCACTTTGTAACCCAGAAAAGAAAGAAAAGAAAGAGGGGAAGAGAAGCGAGAAAAAAACCGCAGTTGTGTCTTCTCTTTTATTGATCTGACACCATGTTTGAAAACTTTGGCCCTTGTGTTTCAGTAGTAGGTTGAAAGAAGAAGAGAGAAAAAGAGAGAAGAGAATAGGAGAACCACGATCCGGTCTAGAGAGAATGAATCCTCCCCTAGCTGACCCAATCTTATTTATATATGATGATAGTACAGTGACTGATATACCCCTACTTACGTTTGGGGGCAGTACCTTAAAGTAAGACAAAACTGACAGCCCAACTTGATGAGAAGGTAAAAGACAATATTGCCCCTGTATAGTTCAGTCTAACAATGTTCTTGATTGAAATTGGGGTGAAGTGACTAATGGCCATCTGGGTTGGACTTTGGGTCTTTGGGTTTTAGCATTTTATTTTTCTGATTGTAAGTTGGTTGTTAAGGCTTTTCTTGGTGTGCAAAGGTTTGGTAATGTTATTAGTTTATGCATTGGTTGTGGAGTTGGTTGTTTTGGATTTTTGTGTGAGGGTGTTCAAGTGGTGAAGTTTTTGGGGGTTTTTTCTTGGGTGATGCCTAATCAACCTATCTCTTGTATCTCTTTTCTCTTTTAATGAATTTTTTTGCTATCAAATTTATACACATATATGTTTTACACACACACACATACACAATCCTATCTTTTTCATCAGTGTCATGATGGTAGGTTTTCATGCTAGATTCTTGATTTCTGAAGACAGTTGGACAAACTGATGTTTCTATTTCTAAATCTCAATAATTGCAGATCAAACAATTAGTTTCATTCTGTTAAAATTTAGTTTCGTTCTTCCTTTTTTATTAACTGCTCCTAAAAGTTAATATGGTATCAGAGCACCAGGTTTCGTTCTAACCTGGTTTAGACGTCTTTTTCCTCTTCCCCTCTAGAGAACTCCTACTCTCTCAGAGGGGGAAAAAGATTGTAAAGGACTGATCAACCTCCAAGTAAAGAGGCTTTAATGTCTCAAGTTGCAACAAGTGGTGAGTTTTTGGTGGTGTTCTAAGCTCACTTCTAATTTCAAGAAGGGCTGTTTCTGGGTTTTGAATGGCTGCAGAACCTTCCATCACTGTGTGGTGAGTGTGTGAGATGCTTCTGGTGTGGTAGCAGTCAAGTTTTGTGATTATGGGGTCAGCTGGTGGATCAAGTATCCTGTACCCTACTGTATTTTGGATGTTTTCTAGTGGTAGAAATTGGAACATAATGCAGTGTAAACCTGTGTACAGAGGTGGTGGTGTGGTATAAAATCTTTATTTTCGAAAGATTAATCATTAGTTCAATTTCTTACACAAGTGGTTCCAAATCAGCTGTTGTGTTACAGTCAGACATTATGAATGTCAAGCTGACTATTGTCAAACTCAATGGTATGAACTATGTATCATGGGCTAAATCAGTTGAGGTTTCTTTGATTAGTCAAAGCAAACTGAAATATATTAAGGAAGAACAACCCAAGATTGGGTCGGAAGATACAATGAATGGGTGCAAGGAAATGCACATATTATGACTTCATTGTGGAACAGCAAGGAGAAAAAAAAGTGTTAATCTTATGTTTTTGGACACTGCAACAGAAGTTTGGGAGCATGCTAGGCAACTGTAGTCTAGACAAGACAGCGTTACGAGAATTTATCAACTTTATCAGGATTGCCTCACTCTCTACAAATAGGTGCAGCAAGGACAAAGAGAACATTTAGATATTGCTAGTTTTTTGTCAGGGCTGAGGCTTGAGTTTGAGCTAGCATGTTGAGAGCTCTACACAACTGAAGGTTGTTAGTCAAGTATACACAAAGAGGCTATGTCAGCAAGAAGTCACATCAGCATAACCGAAAGTGAGTTGAAAAAATTGTTGTAACAGAACAAAAGCATTGTAACCATGAGAATGAAAACAGAATAAATACAATCAAGAAAGAGAAGAGGAGGCATTGAAGAAATTCAGAAATAAACCATTCTCCTTCTTTCTCTCTCTCTCTCTCTCTCTTACCCATGGAGGTTGGCTCCCTTGAAGAAGACCTAAGTTATTGAATAGATTACATTTGTAACAAGCTAGAGCTTTATTTTATTTTTTTAATCAATAACCAAGCTAGAGCTTTATGATATTTATGCTCCATCTTGAGGGAGACTGTTAAAGTCTAGTTGACAGGGGCAGTTTTGTTATTGGATACCTTCGATTTTAGTCAATCTGTTAAAATGTCTTACTGAGGGCATTCTTGTAATTTCGGTCACTTATTAGAAGCTGAATATTACTTGGGTCAATAGGAAGAGAAAACAATTCAACACTCTCTCTTGAAAACCCTTTTTCATATCTTTTCTCTTCTTCTTTTCTTCTCTTGCATTCTCTATCAACCAAACCTTTCTACTTCCTTTTTTATTAACAGTTTCCTAAAGTAAATACATTCATCCATCATAAAACCAATATTTCTATCATCTTTCCAGTAAATTCTTCTCTACTTCTTATGAGCTGTATGAAAAATATTTCAAGTTATTTTAATTGAAAAAGGAAAGATAAGTATCACAAGAACCATCATTAGTGCTTTCCATACATCTAAATTCCACAATGACCTAAATTCAAAATGTAAACAAAATAAATGAGGGTAGCTTTTCTCAAATCCATACTACATTACAAATATAGCATGGCAGTCCAAGTACGCCACTTCTAGAGCTCTTATACTTCATGTTCGATCACAAAATGCTTTCCATACATCTAAATTCCACAATGACCTAAATTCAAAATGTAAACAAAATGGATGAGGGTAACTTTTCTCAAATATGTACTACATTACAAATATAGTATGGTCAGTCCAAGTATGCCGCTAGTCAACCATCAACCCATAGTGAAGTATCAAACTTGGTTCCAAAATTATCATATTTGTTAATTTTAGTCATGGTTCTTTGATTTTAAGCTTTTTTCAAAAAGGCTATCTAATTTCAGCAAAAAGAGATAGAAGCAAACCAATTGCCCTCCAGAAGAATGTCCATCTTCAGAAAATGTTCCATGTGAACCTCCCCAGCCCCAAGTAAAAATATTGTCACCTGAATTATGTCATTTTAGGTTATGGTCATTGCACTTATATTAACAAATAATAACTTTTAATCAAATAAAGACCATAAGCTATATTACTCCAGATATGAACATAGCTGGAAGTGGTGTCACATACAGAACTTGCACAAAAAAATTGAAGCATCTAATATGAAATGGCACCCTTGTAAAATAACATAGACCATAAATGATGTACCAAGCTTTTAAAACTATTAAAACACAGGCAGGATTTTACTTTTTCAATAAAACATATAGGATTTGGGTGAGAACAGACTTTCCAGTAAAATTTACATTATATATAATTATATATAGTATATTATATGGCATAAGACCCTAAATCATGTTTCAGAATCATCTTTTCTTCAGAAGTATGATACTTACTGGACAACTCTAAGCAAATATTTGGCAACAATCAAAGTAATGAAGCCAATGAGATACCCACCAGAGCAAAAGCAAGCTAAAGCAGAGAAAGAAAAAATCTTTTTAGGAGAGAGTAGTTATATTAAATAAAAAAAGGAGAAGAAGAACTACAAGCAAGGAATTCCAGCAGAAAGGAAACTAGCAAAACCCACAGTAGTAGTTTCATAATTTCTGGGTTAATGATGAGGCAAAAAAATGAAAAATAAGTGAATATATTCTGTTTTGGATGTGTTTTGTAGTAGTATCCCAAATTGTTGTTTTTGGGTAGCTTTGTTCACAGCTTGGGAACAGGGGTGTTTTCGTCATTTTATATGTCCAATTCGGGTCAGGGGAAGTTGAGTGCATATCTGTTGGATTTTGGTCTCTTGGGTCTTTTTGTAACAAAGTTTATCTTTTGGGGGTTCATTTGAAGTTAGTTTTGTTCTTAAGAAGTTGCTTGTGAGAGGGAAACACTCTATGGGCTTATGTGTAAATATATTAACTAGCTTGTCCAGCAAGCCAATGGGTCTTATAAAAGTGAAGGGGGCTGTTTCTATAGGGGTCTTTTTTGGTTCTTTCTCTCTTGTTTGAGTTACAGCTCAGCCCTAGCTAGGGTTTTCAAGTATTGGGAGCTTGGGTTTTGAGGAGTCGACCCATTTTGGCACCTTCAAATCCCTCTATCACTGTGTGTTCGCACGGGAGGCCAGCTTGCTGCCATTATTACTATAGCAGAACTGTTCCAAGAGGAGTTTTACATCAGATTCAGGTCTGAAATCCCTAAAAATCCAACTTGTTTTGTGTTTCAACTTGGTATTTCTTGTGCTTATTGCTGTATACTTGAAGTGCTGCATGTAATTTGTTTTTCTGTCCACATCAAATGGTATCGGAGCAAGTTCTTTCCTTGGGTTTGCTTCAAAGCTCATCTTCTTGTTGTGTTTTGCTAAATTATCATGGCTACAAGGGGTGGATGTGGTAAGGGTGGTAGAAAACCACAACATGTCACTGTAGAGGTTTTACAAGAGGCTATAAGAAGGCTGCAAGAACGGATTGAACATCTTGCTCAACTTGTAACTCAAAATGCTGCTAGGAATGGTGACATAGCAAGTGATTTGGGGTTAGGAAGAAGAAGACAAGCTCCTAGAGTTGATGAACAGCCCACTGACATTATTAGTGAAGACATTGAACAACCTAAAGGTGATCAGCATGAAAGGAATAACAACCAGCGGTGAGAAGACCGAATAGTGCAAGCTTTACAATCTAATCAAGGTCATGGTGTTCAACTTCATATTAACGAGTTTGATGGTGAGTTGGAACCTGAAGAGTTTCTAGATGGTTGGACAACATTGAAAATTAATTTGATTGGAAAGAAATGAATAAAGAAAGAAAAGTGAAGCTTGTAAAAGCAAATATGCGTGGGACAGCCTTGGACTGGTGGAAAAATTACCAAAGGGGCAGAGAAAGGAAGGGAAAAAGAAAGATTAATTCTTTACCAAATGGTGCAGAATTTAAGGCAACTGAAACGAGTGTAAAGGAGTACATAAAAGAGTTTAATAGATTAACTCTTCGGAGTAATATGACTGAAACTGAACAACAAAAAGTTAGTAGATATATCAATGGTTTGAGGTTGCCAATACAGGATCAGGCCAGCCTGCATTGCCCATATAAATTAAAGGATGCATATCAGCTAGCTTTGAAGGTTGAAGCTCAATTGAGTCAGAACTCGGAGCAAAAACTAAGCGCTGTCCAAGGTACATCTTCATCAGGAGGCCAAAGTGTTGGGGTTGGTAAGGGTCGTGTGATCAACCAAGGGCAGCCTACTGTTAAGTGTTTCAGGTGTATGGAGTTGGGGTATCGTTCCAATGAATGTGTCCTAAGAGAAGAATTGAAGGGCAAATACATTTGGTTGATGAATCCATTGATGAACAACAAGATGATATAGGCCATGTTGAGGATGGACAAGTGGCTGAAACTACTGAACCTAATGCTTTAGAGGAAGAAAACTTGGATGGGGACATTGAGGGTGAAGCTCTAGTGATGCAACACTCCATGGTTGTACCTAAAGAACCACTAATAGGGGATTGGTTGAGAAAGAATATCTTTATAACACGTTGTACAGCTGGTGGGAAGTTGTGTAACCTGATTATTGACAGTGGAAGTAGTGAGAATCTTGTTTCTCAAGAGATTGTAGATAAATTACAGCTCAAAACTGTTCAACACCCCCGACCATATCGTATTTTGTGGTTCAACAAAGGAAATGAAGTAAGAGTTTCTTCTAAATGCTTAATTAATTTCTCTATTGGTAATACATTTGAAGAATCGGTATGGTGTGATGTTGTCCCAATGGATGCATGCCATACTCTTTTCAGACGCCCATGGAAATATGACCATAAGACCATTCATCATGGGGACAAGAACACATACAGCTTTGTGAAAGACAATAAGAATATATATCTTAACCAATGCAACTTGATTCATTTCCAAAGAGGGAAATGAAGCCAACCACTACTCTCTTCATCTCAAACAAATTGGCTCAAGAAGAAGGAAATTTGGATGTTGTTTACATGCTGGTTGCAAAAGAAGCTAGAAAAGAAATACTTATTCCAGAGATGGTGAAGAAGCTACTTCATGAGTATGCTGATGCGATGCTTGAGGAATTACCCAATGGCCTTCCTCCCCTAAGAGATGTACAACATCATATAGATTTAGTGTCGGGAGCAGCATTTCCTAACTTACCCCATTATAGAATGAGTCCTAAGGAGCATGAGGAGCTCCAAAGACAAGTAACAAAGTTGTTGAAGGGGCTGATCCGTGAGAGCTTAAGTCCATGTGTTGTACCAGCTTTGCTCACACCAAAGAAAGATGGTAGTCGGCGTATGTATGTTAACAGTCGTGCCATTAGATTACAGTCAAATACAAGTTTCCCATGCCCTGCCTTGATGACAAGTTAGACACATTGGCTAGCTCACAAGTCTTTTCAAAGATAGATTTGAAGAGTGGGTACCATCAAATCCATATCCGAGAGGGGGATGAGTGGAAGACTGCATTCAAGACTAAGGAAGGTCTTTATGAATGGTTGCTTATGCCATTTGGGTTGTCTAATGCTCCTACTACCTTTATGAGGTTCATGAGCCAAGTTCTATGACCATTTATGAGGAAGTTTGTGGTAGTTTATTTTGTTGACATATACTCATCCACAACAAAGATCATGTTGACATATACTCCATAGCTAAGAAAAGCTTCCATGAGCTAAAGATGAGAATGACCAAGGCTCCAATACTAGCTTTACCTGATTTTAACAAGCTCTTTGAAGTTGAATGTGATGCATCCCGTGTTGGTTATACAACAATTTAATGATTTAGTTAGGCTACTTATAGACAAAAGGTTGGTGTGGAGTTTAGAAACATGAAAGATAGAGTTAGGGGTGAGGGAATCTTTGTCACAACTAGAAAGCAAGTTATGGGAATTAAATAAGGTAGAAACACTAGTCATATGATCAGAAGCTCCAGAATCTATAATCCAAGAGATTCTACGATTACCTAAGGTAGTTGCATGGTTGGTTGTAGCACGTATACCTGAATTTGCAAAAGCATGGAAATTGAATTGCCTGAAGGATTAGAAGTTGATGCGACTATGCTCTCAAGGTGATTAATCATCTTCCCATACATCTCAAATTCTGCCTTTGCTTCTGCCAGCTACTCGATAGTAGTCTTTTCATTAGAACCCTTGTCACTGTTTGGAACCATGGCTGCATTAGCATTTCCAGTCTTCCCATTTCCATATTATTTTTTGATCAGCAAAGGTGATTTTATTAAGAAAAATGAGATGAGAATTAGTACAGAAATTAAGTAGCCTTGGTTACCCCATTAGACTTTAAAATTTCCACCTAAGATTTTTCTTTACAGCCTTACAACTGAGACCAAAAACAATGTTCCCTATTAGCCCCTTGCTTCGCTAGCTGGTCCGCAAACCCATTTGTTGCTCTTGGAGTCCACTGAAATAATAATTGCATGTCCTTTGTAATGTGATTAAGTTTCTTGATCTCATTTCTGAACACCCATGGAGTCTTTCCAATCTGCTTTAGCCAGCTTATAATTACTTTGGAATCGCCTTCTACAACCAGCTTTCTCACACCTATTTCCATGCCATTTTGTATTCCAAACACCCATAGATTTTACCCATGAGATCACTTTTATTATAATCCCTTCTATCAGTAATTCCTTACACCTTTTCTTTCCTTCAAAAATTCTCAGATTTCTTTCCTCCCATAACATCCAAAGCACTGCTGCCCATGTGCATCTCCACAAAGTTCTTCCTCTTCTTTTTGGCCACCTGAAAGTGGAGGTGTCAAACAGTCTTTTCAAGCTCACCGAGGTATCCCACCTGCATCCAAAGGGAGAAAAGAACCATTCCCAAATGCAGCTAGCAACAGGACAGGAAACAAAAATATGATGAGCAGTTTCACCATTTCATTCACACAAGCAGCACCAATTAGGTGAAAGGCACCATCCAGGCCTCTTCCTCTGCATCAGATCACAGGTGTTAATTGCACCATGGTAAACCTCCCAACAGAAAGCACTCACTTTGGGGGGGAATAGGGCGACACCAGACTTCTTGGACTGTCAAGCAGCTGAATAATAGAAAACACCAAATCCAGCTCCCAATCTCTCACATTTCTGTGGAGACCCAAATTTCAAGCAAAACCAGATTGTGAAGGAGAAGGGGAAAGGAAATTAGCAACCAGTTTGCCCTTAAGACAGGACAGGGCACAAATTGAGGGGAATAAGGTCTTTAAAGAAGAGTCACCCACCCACACATCTTCCCAAAATTTAACTTTGTTACCTGAATTGAGATCAAACCTGACATGATTGAGGAGCAATGGAAGTAGTTTGTGAATCGCTTTCCCAGGTGAAGCACTGGAAACCCTGCTAGAGACTCCAGCATCCCAATCATTCTCTGAGAGCCCATGTATACTAGTCACAATCTTGTGCCACAAATCTCCAAAACCACTTTCCTAGTAGAGACTCTTTCCTTTCCTTCAATCTCCCTAGCCCCAAACCTCCAAACTCTTTCCTCCTAGTTACTAGATCCCATCTTACTAAGTGATCTTTCTACTTCTCGCCCGGTTCCCACAAAAAATCCCTCATTATTCTCTCTAATTTCTTTCCCACAGCTTGAGGCATGTTGAACACCGTGAGGTAGTAAACTGGAAGGTTTTCTAGGGTAGACTTAATGAGAGTAATCATGCCCCCCAAATAAATATAATTCCTCTTCCATGCAGCAAGTTTCCTTTTGAACATGTCCACAATTGGATTCCAAAAATCTAAATTTCTAGGATTCGCACCAAGGGGGAGGCCTAAATACTTGAGTGGTCAATCACTTCTTAAACATCCTAGCTCCTCAGCCCACAGATTAACATCTTCTTGTGCTAAATTGATCCTTACCACCAGACTTTTATTAAGGTTCACCCTCAGATTTGTCACTTTTTCAAAAAGTTTCACCAACATCCTTAGGTTTTTTGCTCCTAACTTATCTCCATTCTCACAAAAAAAATAATGAAATCATCCACAAATTGTAGATGAGTTACCATTTCCATATTTCTTATTATTATTAGCATTCTTGAATCGAGCCAGCAACATTTTTGGGTGTAACTTCCAGCAAATATCCTTTGCATGTTTTGGCTTCTTGCAATACTCACATATGACATCCTTCCCTAAGCTGCCTTAGGTTGCACCCATACATTAGAAAAGTGGTCGATTCGAACTGCCCCCTAAACCTATACTTGCCTTTTGCTTTCCTCACTACTCACCATAGAATAAGCCTGAGAGAGAGCTACATCATTCTTTGCAAATATATTCCGTTTGGTAATGTCATATTTTTGATTGGGCCCTATAAGGAATTCAAATACCTTGTTTCTTTCCACAAGTTTACTATAAGTTTCAACATCCTTTTTAATTTCCCAAACAATTACCTCCATCAAATCAATCTCTTGCCATAGAGATTTCAACATTAAATAATAAACTATTAATGATTTCTCCCCTTATCATAAATTACTGACATCATTTTTCAGCTAATATGCTTTAGCCAAATTCAATTTCTGGGAGTATGTCTCTGCAACATTATCCCAAATCTCCTTTGCAGAATTTACCCACAAGTAATGTTGGCTGATATAAAGATGCATCGAATTCACCAACTAACCAATAACAGTATAATTTTCTTGCATCCACTTCCCGTAAGAAGGATCATCTTCCTTAGGTTCCTTCTTACTACTAGAGATATACCCCCACTTTCCTCTACTATAAAAATATATTGTCACTGACTGTGACCAAGCCAAATAATTGGTTTCATCAAGCTTCACTATGGTCACAGCCAACAGAGGATCAACAGGACGCTCCTGGAGCCTGTCCGGACTCTGAGCCATGCTTGATCTCTACTTCAAAACCCAACCTCTCCTTGTAGGCCTTTTAAAAAACAGTTCTACTTGAATCGATCTCTATAAGGATAAAAAATACTCCCTTGAAGCTCTGAGCGCCAAGTTGGAACCCCCTCTAGGACCCTTAATTCAAAAATCTCCTGTTTCTAGGGTTTTGGGTAAGAACTCCATGAACTGTCTTAGACACCAATCTGATCGCCGCTTTTCTCCTGAAATCCTCTACCAACTGAGATGATTATCTTCTTTAATCAATTATCCATTCAGATCTCCATACACAATATGTATGGGATTAAGAAGGAAAAAAAGGTAGTTGTATGCTTTGATACCAAGAAGAAAACTAGCCAGCACTTGTGTCTTCCCTTTAATCAGAAAAACACAGGAAGGGAGAAAGAAATATGAGAGCAAGAGAGTGAGAAAAGAGAAAAGAAGAGAGGAGAAGAAATGAAGAAGGAGAAGAGTCTAATCATTCTCTCTCCAATCCTTAAGTACTTTTATAAATCATAATAAGAAAACTAATAGGACATTTACAAGTGACCTTAATGGAGCGGCTGTCAATAAATATAAAGAAAGAAGAATAAAGGCCCATTAACTCAAGTAAACTAACGGCAAAGCATAAAAAGGCTAATCCCATCCGGCCCACTATTTCTACAAGATCATCAACATTAGGGATGAAAGTTACATGCACTAAGATATTACCAAGATAATTTTAGTTTAAACTAGTAACAATGTCAATATGCAAAAAACGAGTAATCTATGTAAGATTTCCTTATGTGATGTCATTTGGTGACCCTAACATCAACTGACTGGACTCAAAGGAACCTAGTTCAATTGATACATTAAGTGTTACTATCAGTGCTTTAAAAACCGGCCCGGAGGCTGAACTGTTTTTGCCTCCGGGTCACGGGTCACTAGTTCGACCGGCCGGGTCGAACGGTTCAGACCGTGCCACGTCACCGCATGTATGTGTATAACTATATATATTTATATACATTATATATGTATATATATGTATACATGTGTATAAATATGTTTTAGATATGTTATATGTATTATTTTATATTTAATTTATATTTTTTAACTCAGTTTTTAATTTTTTTATTTATAAAAATATTAAAAATTGCAATTTGAGGCCAAAAAAGGGATTTTTTCGCAAAAATAGCGGGGCAAGGCACCTATGGCTCCTTGGGACGCATAGGTCTCGAAAAATTACCCAAAATAAAAAACAAATCACCCCAATCAGACATTGGAGTGCAAAGTTATGGCCTCCGAAAGTTTTGCATGCATTGAGTGTGCAACCCGCGACCTGGTCACTGGGTCGAATGGGTCAACGGTTGAACCGGATGGGTCGAACGGTTCTTGACCAAGTCAATGGTTTTTGACCGTCTAATGGGTCTCAACTGAACCGGATCCCAAATCCTGGCTGGTTGACGGTTTGAACGGTTTGACCGGCCAAGTCAACGGCGGGTTGAAAGCATTGGTTACTATTGTTAACTTGAGTAACATATTTGGCTGTGTCAATGGGCACACATGAAAATGTTTAAACATACTCAGAGGTGGATCAAGTATTTCATTGTTAATTCAAGAAATATCTAAATTAAATAAAAGAAAACCGCATATGCCCAAGGGAAGAAGAAACTAAAATATCATTACAATGGAAGATGCTGCAATTAGACACTTAAAAGTTCTTAATTTGACTCTCATGTTTAGAACAACTTCCGTACCAGAAATCACAGCTGTGTGCTTCCAACCACAAGATACCTACACAAGGAGATTTCTCAAAACATTTAAAATTGTTCTAGAAGTTTGTGGAAACATAAACTTCGGCAGCAAAATGTATAGTGCTATTCAACCACATGTTTAAATGATAATTGTCCAATGAAGTGCATACCTTGCATACAGGAAGTTTCATGAATGGACCTTCAACTCTTTCTGGTGAGTGGATAACTTCTGTGCAACTAAGGAATAAATAAATAAATAAGATATATCAGCTGGTGAAGAGACTGAAATGCTAAGAGTTTTGGACTTCTAGTCATAAATACAAGCCTACAAGCTATAGCTATTATGACAGACTATTTAGGGAGCAGATACCCGATACCAAGGCAACCATTCTCATTTGAACCCCATGTGTACAGTTCACCACCATCTGTATGGAGAAAAGAAAATGGAAAAGAAAAGAAAAGTTACATTTAGGGCAGCGTTTCCATTCACCTATCAATGATGATTATTGCAATGTTAAAGGACAGACTCAATTCAGGAAATATTTATTAAAACTCAGTTGTTTGTGACCATTCAACCTATTATCCTAAATGAACAAATTCCATACAATTCTTGGATTTGCTTGGTCAAAGTTTGTTGCTCTTACATGCCTATCATATGATTCACTTATATAAAAGAGCTAATTTTGGATGAGGTAAAGTAAATACTTGTTATAACGCATGTGTGATATCCACCACATGCAATTTCTTCAGATGATGGAATTTTGCTGATGATGGAAGGCAATGTTGTTTTATTTTTGTTCACAAAGCCCTAAATTTTCCATTCAGAAATCCATAAAGCAAATGAAAAGAAGATCCAATAAGCAATCAAAATGTAACCACCAAACAGGATCTCAAAGAATATATATTTTCTCCAATTACCAGTTTATCAGCTGCTCTTTCACCAAATATAAAAACTGATCCATTCTCTGGTATTTCCAAGACAAGAAAAAGTAAGTCATAAATATAGACAACAAATACATTCAATTCACAATTTTACATTAGGAGACAGAAATAGGGAGTTACCATCAATGCAGGCTGAATGCAATAATCCAGCAGCAACATTTTTAACCTATATTTACATAAAAAAGAGCCAAAAAAAGAAAAATAAATGGTCCAAATCTGATGGTCTATTTTGGATGGTAAAACATCTAGGAGAAATATTTATTATCAAGAAGGAATTGAATGAAACAGGTCATAACTATAAAAGTACCTTAATTCCCTCAAGTTCCTTGATGAGCCTTGGTGTATATTCACTGCAAAAGAAAGACTGTTAGTAACCCCCTAAAACAATCAATAAGCATATCCAAGAATCCAAAAGTAGTGCACAAATGTTTGGATAAGGCACAGAAATGGTTTTATTCTCTCAAATGTGTATGAACTGTAATGAGTCAAAAATTCAGATCTACCTAAGTCTTTTCAGAGTTTTAGTGTTCTTTCATATATGGATGATGTTGATAGACTTCAAGAGATTTTGTATTAGTAAGAAAAGTTCACATAAAGTACATAATAACGTACTAAAAATCAAACTACACTGGAACTGGATGGATAACAAGTTAATCAGGGAACCCAGGACTACCATTGGCTCAGACATCCAAACCATCTAAGCAACAAATACCATTGAAACATTAATTATCCATTCTTAGACTTCAGCAGTTAGCAGATTTACTCAGTTTTACCTGTTTTATGTGCATCACCAAATAAAAGGGTAATGTAATTATTAATTAATTGAAGGTTTTCAATTGAATGGTTAAATTTTAAAGGATAAAATTATTACCCATTCACATAAAAAGATGTGTATAGATAGGAAGAGGGAGAAGTTAACCTACACATGGATACTCTCTAGGAGAGGTTGGACTAAACACTGAAGGATAACATCATTGTGTCCATTGTACATCCAAAGAAGAAGTTCTGTTTTTATAACATCAATGTCTTTCAACATCAAAAAGATAGCCCCTGTACAACATGAGGCTGTACACTGGGAATGTACAGAAATACATCTCTGAACCTTATACCAATATACCATCACCCCTTTACTATAAACAGTAGAAGATCAAGACTGTAATCAGTCTTGAATCCAAATAGGTTTTAGGTTTACAAAATAGAAGAAAAGTGAGAGAAAGAAGAGAGA